CTCCCTCCCCTCCCTCCCTCCCTACCTCATCTCCCTCCCATTGCCTCCCTCGTCTCCCTTCTCCGCCAAACATAATCAAAGAATGCAGCTCACGCACCGTGTACAAAGGACAAACAGAGAATGCAGCACACGCCCTACACAAGAAAGCAAAAACAGAGGATGTTCACACACTGTGTGCAAGAAAGCAATAAGCAGAAAATGCAACTTACGTGCCCTACGAGGAGGCCAAGCAGGAAACAACTCACCTGCACTGCACAAGAGAGTAAAAACAAAGATTACACCTCATAGCATTGCACAAGAAAACAAAAACAGAGAGTGCAGCTAGGAAACTTACACTCCCTGCACCAAAAAGCAGAAAGAGCAAAGGAAATTCGCACTCCTGCACAAGAAGGAAAAAGCAGCGAAGGAAACTCACACTTTCTGCAACAAGAAAGCAAAAACAGCAAAGAAACGCACACTCCCTGCCCAAGAAAGCAAAAGAGAATGCATCTCACACTCCCTGCACAAACAAAGCAAAAACAGAGAGTACAACTTGCACGAGCTTTCCCCCTTGCACTCACACACACACTCACGCTCGCACTCACACTCAAGCTCACCCTCACACTCACACTCGCCCTCACTCTCACCTTGTGTTCCCACTCGCCTTCGCACACGCTCTAGCAGTCACGCTTGCACTTGCTCCCTCATTCACCCTCGCACTCGCCCTTGTGCTCACAACCCCCACTCGCCCTTAAGTGCATGCGCGCATTTCACTCCCCGCCCTCACGGAGGCCGTCTCCAAGGTGCCAGCACCCAAATCAAGTGCCACAAGAACGCCCTCACGGTGTCCTTGGGGTTCATCAAGTGCACAAGACGCCCTCACGGTCTCCTTGGGTCATCAAGTTGCACAAGACGCCCGAGCCCACCGCACAGCACCTTAGGCGCTAGCACCCACGTCGTCGTGCCCACGGCGCCAAAGCCCTAGCCACAAGCGCCCTTAGGCGCCAGCGCCTTAGGGGCCAGCACCCACGGCTTTAGCGCCCCAAGAGCAAGCGAGTTAGTTAGGCACTAGCACTCACGGCGGCCGCGCCAACGGCGCACCTCTCACTCGCTCTCTCACTCGCTCTCTCACGCGCTCCTTCACGCGCTCCCTCACGCGCTCCCTCACGCGCTCTCTCACGCGCAATCTCACGCACACTCTCACGCGCTCTCTCATGCGCTCTCCCACTCGCCCTCTCACGCGCACTCTCACGCACACCCTTACACGCACTCCCATGCGCACTCTCACTCGCTCTCTCACGCGCACTTTCACGCGCACTCTCACTTGCACTCTCACGTGCTCACTCACGCGCATTCTCATGCGCACTCTCACGCGCTCTCTCACACACTCTTTCACGCGCACTCCCACTCGCTCCCTCATGTGATCTCTCACGCGCACACTCACTGCGCATGCGCACCCTCACGCGCACTCTCACGCGCACTCTCACTCGCTCTCTCACGCGCTCTCTCACGCGCACTCTCACGCGCTCTCTCACGCGCACTCTCACGCGCTCTCTCACGCGCACTCTCGCGCGCACCTCACGCGCTCCCTAATGTGCACTCTCACTCGCTCTCTCACTCGCTGTCTCACGCGCTCCCTCATGGCACTCTCACGCGCTCTCTCACGCGCTCTCTCACGCGCTCTCTCTCGCGCACTCTCACGCGCACTCTTACGCGCTCTCTCACGCGCACTCTCACACGCACTCTCACCGCGCACTCTCACTCGCTCTCTCACACGCTCTCTCACGCGCTCCCTCATGTGCTCTCTTACGCGCACTCTCACGCGCACCTCACGCGCTCCCTAACACGCACTCTCACTCTCACTCGCTCTCACGTGCTCCCTCATGCGCTCTCTCACGCGCTCTCTCACGCGCACTCTCACGCGCACTCTCACGCGCACTCCCACGCGCACTCCCATACGCACTCTCACTCGCTCTCTCACCGCGCTCTCTCACGCGCTCCCTCACGCGCTCTCTCACGCGCTCCCTCACCGCGCTCTCTCACGCGCACTCTCACGCGCACTCTCACGCGCACTCTCACGCGCACTCTCATGCGCACTCTCACTCACTCTCTCACGCGCACTCTCATGCGCACTCTCACTCACTCTCTCACTCACTCTCTCACGCGGTCTCTCTCTCGCGCACTCTCACGCGCACTCCCACACGCACTCCCATACGCACTCTCACTCGCTCTCTCACGCGCTCTCACGCGCTCCCTCACGCGCTCTCTCACGCGCTCCCTCACGCGCTCTCTCACGCGCACTCGCACGCGCACTCTCACGCGCTTCCTTATGCGCACTCTCACGCGCTCTCTCACGCGCTCTCTCACGAGCACTCTCACGCGCACTCTTACGCGCTCTCACGCGCGCACTCTCACACACGCTCCCTAATGTGCTCTCTCACGCGCACTCTAACGCGCACCTCACACGCTCCCTAACACGAACTCTCACTCACTCTCTCACTCGCTCTCACGCGCTCCCTCACGCGCACTCTCACGCGCACTCTCACGCGCACTCTCACGCGCACTCTCATGCGCACTCTCACTCACTCTCTCACGCGCACTCTCATGCGCACTCTCACTCACTCTCTCACTCGCTTTCTCACGCGCTCTCTCTCACGCGCTCCCTCACGCGCTCTCTCACGCGCTCCCTCACGCGCTCTCCTCACGCGCACTCTCACGCGCTTCCTTATGCGCACTCCTCACGCGCTCTCTCACGCGCTCTCTCACGAGCACTCTCACGCGCACTCTTACGCGCTCTCTCACGCGCACTCTCACACACGCTCCCTAATGTGCTCTCTCACGCGCACTCTAAACGTGCACCTCACACGCTCCCTAACACGCACTCTCACTCACTCTCTCACTCGCTCTCACGCCCTCCCTCACGCGCACTCTCACGCGCACTCTCACGCGCACTCTCACGCGCACTCCCACGCGCACTTCTCATACGCACTCTCACTAGCTCTCTCACGCGCTCTCCTCACGCGCTCTCTCACGCGCTCTCTCACGCGCTCTCTCAAGCGCTCGCTCACGCGCTCCCTCACGTGCACTCTCACGCGCAACGTGCTCGCTCCCGTGCACACGCTCCTCCCTCGCGCTCCGTCTCTCCTCTTCCCCAAATGAATGTGCAACGGAACAAGAGATCAATCGACACACAAAAACAAAGATGAAACCAGAAAAAAACATGGAATATCAGAGGCGTAAGGGAGCAAAAGGGACCAGGAAAGGTAAACGAACCTGAGAAACCAGCCCGCGGTGGCGCACCAATCCGCGGACGCGCACAAACCCACGGTCGCGCACCAACCCGCGCTCCACTCGTGCGCCTGTCGCCAGAGGCGACGGCGGGAAGGGAAGGGAAGGCGACGACGGGGAGGGAGGGAGGCGACGATGGGGAGGGCGAGGCGACGGGGGAGGGAGAGGCGACGGCGGAGGGAGAGGCGACGGCGGAGGGAGAGGCGACGGCGGAGGGAGAGGCGACGGCGGAGGGAGAGGCGACGGCGGAGGAAGAGTCGACGGCGGAGGGAGAGGCGACGGCGGAGGAGAGGCGACGGCGGGAGGGAGAGGCGACAGCGGAGGGAGAGGCGATGGCGGGGTGGGGGAGAGAGGTGACGGCGGGGTGGGAGGGAGATGGCAACAGTGGGTGAGTGGGATAGGCAATGGCGGGGTGGGAGGAAAACGTGATAGCTGGGTGGGGAAGGTGGTTTGTGCAACTTCAGGCAAGGACTGGGAAGTGGCAGAACAGAACAGTACATTGTAAAAACAAACTCTGCCCGCGAAAGTTTAGGCCTGAAACAGTTTCTACTATGGCGACGAACCGGAAACAAACGTTTTTAGGGCAGTCAGAAGAAATCGCTACAAATGTTTTTTATTAGAGTCCCCGTAAAAAACACGAGCGCTGCGGGCCTTTGTGGAGAACACACAAACCCCGGGCAAAGTGGAAACTTATAGTCCCGCTATAGGAAAATTGCATGAAGAGCAATTTTCCTTCGCTACTAGTCGTTTTTCCTGTCACATGCGTACATTCGGACCACGCTATCTTCAACTTCACGTTGCACAGTTCGCCGCGTTGATCAATCTCGCAAGACAAACGGGCAGAAAAAATACAAAATCAATTATTTTCAAGGCCGAAATGAAAGACAACATTCTTCGTCTTACTCTGTAAGCGAGATTAATGAGATGGCATCGTCGAGCTCAGGGGAACCGCACAAAATGATTTAGACACAAGCGCGTTCAAGATAAACAGACAATAACAACTGCAAAAGTAAAAAGTAAATCAATACGTTTCTTTATTTATATATTCCGTGAATAGTCTGACAGGTTTGATTTACGTCCTCTGATTGGCTGTAGAACTGATTTGCGCAATGATTAAGCCAAGATGCAAGATTTCCCGCCAAAAATGGGACTGTAGAGGGGATACACCTAGGACTTCCGTGAAAGTCTACTTGTTGAGGAAAATGGACTCTTTTAGGAAAGGCCTCTAAGTCAGAACATCATCAGATTAGGAAGGTGGTGTCACGTGAAACACATTCATCAGAATCATGTGGCAATCCAACTCACGCACATTTGAGAAATAATTGCGCGACGCGACGTGCTCTAAATATTGCTCAATCCTGTGGACTACCCTCGTACCGCGATACCCATTTTTTTATATCTCTTCATCCCTTGGACCGCAGTAGCGCTTTCGTGATACATTCATACTACTTCAGGAAAGAGTGTTGCGATGGTTTTGTGGGAAGTTACATTCTCAAACCATGCATGGTTTACTCTACATTCCTTGTTTTTATTTCCCTTTTTGGATTATTAGGTTCCACAGTATAGCCTATATTGTCACCTAGTCAAGTGCGCGAGTAAACAGGTGTCGCTAAGTAAGGTCCACGCGTAGTGAGAAAACTGAAACGAGAAATGCGTGCACTAAGGAATGAAAGTGATACAAATATGCAACCCTAAAAATGTGTACCCCATATAGGCTACCCCACTACAGCCTACGCAACATTATAATTCGACACACCCCCATAGGCAAAGTGGGGGAGAACAAGGGGTCACAAGACCAGTCAAGCAAAGCAAAGCAAGGCTCAGGGTGGATCACAAAGTCACCACACATTCCGAGCACAAGTTCAAGGCCAGAAGGCCGGTTCACATGCAGGAGCACATATATATATAAAAGACTAAACAAGCAAGAGCAGGAGTATATATATGTGACAGTACAAGCAAGGTCAAGAAGTGAGCAGGTGAGGCAAGACAGGCACAAGACCCAGCTGAGTACAGAAGCGCTGATAATCACAAGGCGCAAGTGCCTTAGTGAAGATATCAGCAGTGTTGGCCTCAAAGGCCACGTACGCAAGTCGCAACTGACCACGCTGCTGCAGCTCACGAGCAAGAAAGTAGTGGAGAGCAATGTGCTTCGTTCTGTGCTCCAGGCGCAGCTCTCGACACAAGGCCAGCATGGCCTTGTTGTCTACGTACAGCACTGGAGGAGAACGAGGCGGCTCTCCGAGGTCAGTCAGCACGTAGGTGAGCCAGCGAAGCTCCTGAGCAGCCATGGCTCCTGCGTAGATCTCAGCCTCACAACTGGAGCCGAGAACGGAAGAGGAGCGAGTAGCCCGCCACGAAACAGAGCCGGAACCAAGGCTGATGGTGTAACCCTGTGACGACCGCTGTGTAGCCTGGTCGTCAGCCCAAGAAGCGTCTGCGTGCCCAGTGAGGACCACTGGACTCTGCCCTCCAAGCACTAGCCCCATGCCCGACGTACTGCACAAGTAGCGCAACACCCTCTTCGCTGCAGCCATGTGCTCCGGTCTGTGTCTCCCAGGAGCAACATAGCGTGCGAGAATGCTAAGAGGGTATGCAAGGTCAGGTCGTGTGCAGGTCATCAGGTACATGAGGCAGCCAACAAGCTCTGGGTACAGGCCACTCGACTCTACGGACTCATCCGAAGGCAGAGCTGAGAGCGACTGGCGAGTAGGCAGAGGAGTGGCCTGAGGCGAGGAGTACGTGAAGCCGAAGCGCTGAAGGACCTGCTGCACCATGTGTGACTGAGTCAGGGTAATGGTGCGGCGTGCTCTGTCCCGGGTGATCTGCAAGCCAAGGTAGATGCGCAGTTCGCCCAGGTCTGTGCACGTGTGTCTCTTCTGCAGCTCGGACTTCACGTGAGCGAGTCCAGAAGTGTCAGCAGTGGCAAAGACCAAGTCGTCGACGTACACGAGGATGTAGAACGGCGGCAAAGAAGTGTCGATGCGCAGAAAACAGCGACGGGTCTGCAGTAGAGGGAGCAAACCCAAGAGCCGCAAGTGTAGTCCTCAGTGTGTCGTGCCACTCACGCGGTGCCTGGCGGAGACCGTAGACTGGCCGCCGGAGGCTCCACTGGGTGCCAAGAGGAAAAGTCCCAGTGAAGCCAGGTGGGCGGCGCAGCCAGATCTCCTCGTGCAGGCTACCCTGCAAGAAAGCAGTGCTGAAGTCAAGAGAGTGAAGCTCGTAGTCGCGCTGAGCGGCTATGTGCAGCAGCACCCGAAGAGTGGTCATCTTCGGGGTGGGAGAGAAGGTCTGAAAGTAGTCAACTCCCTGCCGCTGACTGAAGCCGCGAGCCATGTACCGCGCCTTGAAGACAGGTGGAGAACCTGGCGGCCGCTTCACCCTGAAGATCCACATGCCACTGACGATGTTCGCCCCAGGTGGGGGAACCGCGTCAACGTAGGTGCCTGTGGACTTCCAGGAAGCCATCTCTGCATCCATAGCTGCCCGCCACTGAGAGGAGTAGGGACCCTCTACGGCCTCCGCGTAAGAGCGCGGAGTCGGGATGTCAAGTGCATCCGGGTCTCCCTCAGGGGTAAGCAGTACAGCCACGAGATGAGGTGAAGCAGCAGCCAGACACTGGAACTCCTCCTGCCTGTCCTCAAGGACGTCCGTGCCAAGAGCACACTCACCCCCGACGGACGGAGGACAGACAGACGCAGACTTAGCAACGAGACTAGCAGCGTAGTCTAGACGACAGCGAGCAGCAAAGTCGACGAGCTCAGCAACTAGAGCAGACGCAGCAGTGGACTCAAAGGAGGGGTCAGTGACGATAGTAGCAAGGAGACGCGTGACAGTAGGACTGGCAGCACGAAGAGAGTCCGACTCCGGGTCGGCAAGGGCAGGAAGAGAGGACGCAGGAGGAGAAGGCAAAGGGACTTGCAGAGGAGTAGTGGACGGACGTAGAGACATCCGGTGCGTGCCAGGGACAGGAGGAGGACGCTGACAGCGAACCGCGACCACTAGTGCGAGCAGCACGAACAGGTGACGCAGGACGAGACGCAGGCTCACGACGCTCAGCAAGACCTCTAGTAGGACCAGTGTAGGGAGAAGGAGCAGGCAGTGGGGAGGCCGGCGGTAACTGTGACTGTGACTAGACAGGCTGTGGACACTTTAAGGGAGGAGGAGGACCAAGAACCTGCTGAAGGAGCGGAACGAAGTACGGCCGAGGCCGCGCGGCGACTCCAGACACAGCAGGGACAGCACCAGCACCCCCAGCGGCAGCACCAGCGCCAACAGCACCTCCAGCTGCAGTACCTCCAGCAGCACCAGTAGCAACCCCAGCAGGTTTGCCGCCAGTACTGACAGCAGTAGTCTCACCGCCAACACCCTCAGCAGCTCCCTCTGCGCCAACACCCCCAGGACGAGCACCTCCGGAACCGGCAGCACCAGCACCTTCAGCAGCCGAAGAAGCTCCAGCTCCTGTAGTACCCCTCCAGCGCCGGGCAAACCACTCGCGCAGCTCCTGTGAAGAGAGTGGCTCCCGCCGAGACGAGGCACCCGGAGGACCTCCAGGCCTAGCACCGCCAGACGCCACACGAGCAGGCCCAGCTATCGCCGGCTTCGCACCTCCAGGCTCAGCAGCTCCCGACGTGGCACCCCCAGGGTCAGCACCTCCTGACGTAGGTCCCCCAGGCTCAGCACCCCCAGGCGTAGCACCCCCAGGCTCAGCACCCCCAGTCTCAGCACCCCAAGGCTCAGCACCCCTAGTAGTACCACCCGAAGGCCCAGCACCCACACGCTCAGCACCCCCAGAGTCAGCACCCCCAGGCTCAGCACCCGCAGCAGCACCAGAGTCACCAGTAACCTTGACAGGCTCGACTACGTCTACCTGGGAAACACCTGAAGGGGCAGGACCCTGAGGGGGGAGGGGGTCTACCTGGGGGGGACCTGGCACAAGGAAGAGCGGTGGCGGGGGGAGGGAAGGAGTGCGGTAGGGGAAGAGGTGGTAGTAGGGGATTGACTCGTCAAACGTGACGTCCTGGGAGGACAGAACACGACGAGAGGTGGGGTGGTAGAACTGCCACCCTGGCGCGTCAGGGGGGAAGCCAAGGAAGACGCAAGGAGCAGCACGAGGGGACAGGTTGTCCGCAGACAAGTCGTGGACAAACGCCCGAGATCCCCAGACACGGAACGCAGACGCATCGCCTACCTTCCCCGTGCACAGCAAAGCTGGGGAGGTCTCCGGCATGGAGACCCTGGGGTGAAGGTTGATCTGATGCGCCGCGTACCGAACCGCAAACGGCCACAGAAAATGGGGGGCAGCCGCATGCATCATGGACGTACGGGCGACGTCCATGACCATGCCAATGCGGCGCTCAGCAATCCCATTTTCTGTGGAGAGTCCGGAAGCGTAAAGGTCTTACGGATGCCTCGCGCGCGACAGTAGGCTCGCAGAAGGCCAGAGGAGAACTCTCCGCCTCGGTCAGAGTGCTGACGCAGAACAAGAAAGTCTGAGCCAAAGCTCCTCCTGAGCTGGAGACGAGCTGCGCGGATCCAGTCGATCAACACCTCAGTGACATCACCCTTGCTGCGCAAGGGGAAGACTTTGGTGTAACGCGAGTAGTCGTCAACCACCAGCAGGAAGTAGCGCTCGTGACCCTGTCCACGGACGCGGGCCGGGCCCCACACGTCCATGTGAAGCGTCTGCAGCGGGGCCTCTGTCGGGGGAAACTGAGAGGAGTGAGGGGAAGCCCGCAGCCGCCCCTCGACACAGGGGACGCAGGAAGGGCCAGGCCCTGGAGGAAGGGGAGGGAGGGACCGGGGAAGACCAGAGACAAGGACACGGGAGGCCATGCCCGGAGACGAGGCAGGGAGGGGTGACCAAGGCGGTGGTGCCACAAGAGAGTCTCGTGAGACAGAAGGCGACACGAGCAGGGGGCAGACTCAGGACCAGACTTGGACGCTGCAGCAAACACCTGACCCGACGCAGCTACCTGACCAGACGCAGGGACAGGAGGAGACTCAGTGGTCAGGGTGTACAGGCTCGACCCCGGCCGACGCGTAAACGTGGCCAGGTGCCGGCCTGTGCGAGCGTCCCGAGCAGTGGGTCACCCGCTGACTCGCAGGAGTAAACTGGTGAACCCCCGCATCCTGTAGGTCAGCACCACTCACCAAGTTTGTAGAGAACGAGGGGAGGTAAAGACCAGACAAGGTGCCAGAGGGGGCAGCCGGACACGAGAGGACAGTGGAGAAGTGAGAAAGGACAGGACCCCCGGAGGGGTCTGCCAAGGAGACTGCAACCGGCCGACCAAGCGGCGTGAGTGTGGTGCGGTCTCGAAAGAAGGAGCGAGAAGCCCCTGAGTCAAGTGTGAAGGTGAGGGAGCCCGAAGCCGGCGCGGTACCTGAGAGCG